GAGGAGAGGAGAGGAGAGGAGAGGAGAGGAGAGGAGAGGAGAGGAGAGGAGAGGAGAGGAGAGGAGAGGAGAGGAGAGGAGAGGAGGAAGACAAAATGAAACATGGCAACAAGCTATTCTGTAAGGTCGCAGAACACACATCTCTTACTCTGCAGTTTCCAGCTGGATTTCTGCAGAATAAGGTAAACAGTCTGCTGGTAAAAAATACTTTAAGGGAATGCAAACACCCTAAATGGATTCTTGGGCTGCAATTCCATGCTGCTGGAGCAGCTGCTCCAGGGGTAGCCAGCTCCCTGCCACAGGGCCCACCTGTGATGCTAGTGGTGCAGGTGCTCTGGGTGGGGACTGCCATTCTTCCATATGACAAGGTGACAATGCTAATGTTGTACGAGGTAGAAAACGTCAAATCTGGTACTTTTTTCTTGCATTCTGTGTCATTCTCTGAAGTGCAGTTTTCCAGCTGTATCATATAGTTCCAAGTGTCATTCCTGACCCCTAGCTTGAAGCCTGTATTCACGCCGGGGGGACAGGGCCACTTCAGGACCAGAAATGGCTCCTTAGGGACCATCTCACAGTAGAAGAAGGCCACTGGTGCAGGTTCTACAAAGCAAAATACAGAGCAAGGTGAGGCTCACTGGAAGCAGAGAACCTGGCCCAGCACAGAAGGAAACAGCATGGATATGCACAGGTTGGGTAGACTAAGCGATAGCAGACCATGTGACCTTATTGCTCTGGGGTTCAGTGCAGACTTCTGAGGATTAAAGGAAACATTAGTGTCAGTCACCATGCAGCATTCTTAGAAGAGGCTGGAGAGATGGCCTAGCAGGTGGAATGCTTGCTGCTCTTCCAGAAGAACCAAGTTCAGTTCCCAGCCCCTCTTCCACCCATCCCAGCCACACTTGTTCATGTGGGGTTTTCTCTCACTTAAGGCTGAAATTATAAGAAGCCCCAGAGACACCACTCAAACCACCAAGCAAGCAAGTAGACCAGGTGGGATGTATCTAACTGAGCAAGGGTCACTTAAAGCCACAGAAGTAGTTAACCACATCATAGGGAAAATTAGAGGACAAGCATCAAGCTCTGATGCCTCCTGGCCCTCACTGTCCAGTTCCTACAGATCCACTCCCACTACCCCTCCAATAAATCCTCCAGCCAGCACTGTGCTGTCTCCAGCCTCAGGGCCTCTCACTGGCTGCTCTCCTGCCCATAATGCGGGGGTCAAAACCCTGTGATATTCATGTATTTGGCTCTTTACTCCCTCAGGTCTTTGCTCAGTCACCTTCCCATTTAACCTTTCATGAGGTATCTCACCTGACACCTTAATCAGAATACATTCCCCTCCCCTGAGTTTTCCTTTGCCCTCTTTAGCCACAGTCATCATCTAAGTACCTGCTCATTTTATTTATTATCTGTTCTATTCACCAGGATGAATATTACAGAAATGGAGGGACCGCTCTAATATACCAAGTGCTCAATAAACACATGTTAAACGAAGCAATGGTAACAGCATCAATGTGTTACACACACACACACACACACACACACACACGCTATCACCTGTCTTGCAGTGCTCCGTGCCATGGTTACCAACTGCAGGCACAGTAACCCATATGCTAGGAAAGGCTTCCTGAAAGTGAGCATCACAAACAGAAGAACAAGAACCACTAGGAACATGGGACTACTCACCCATACAGAACAACTTCCAGCCAGGTGATGCTGTAACATTCCCAATTTTTGCATAGATCTCCACTGTGTAAAGGGAGCCAGGGATTAAGTCAGCGATTGTCACAGAAGTGATTCCAGTGTCTATGACCATCTTAGTTACATTGCTGCCGTCTCCAGCCTTCAAGATAAGGCAGTAGGAAAACTTAGCAGGGGCTGGGTCCAAACACTTCCACCCGATGACCGCCACAGTGGTGTTGGCGCTTACTTCAATGTCAGACACATTGCTGGGCCCTTGGTTTAAAATTAAATAAACAATTAAAATGAACCACTTTAAATTTGCTATATTTTATTTGCTAAATCCAAAAGCTGCCTGGCTTTTTTCAAGACAGAATTAATTAATATGCATTGCTTCAAAAGATGATTACCCAAAAAGACAGTCATAAAATATGCATATTAAATATTCATATTAGGTGGTGGCACACGCCTTTAATCCCAGCACTTGGGAGGCAGAGGCAGGTGGATCTCTGTGAGTTCGAGGCCAGCCTGGTCTACAGAGTGAGTTCCAGGACATCCAAGACTGTTTCACAGACAAACCCTGTCTTGAAAAACCAAAATAATAATAATAATAAATATAATATATATTAAAGTCTGCAAAGAATTTAAGGTATTCAGGCTTCTTTTAAGCTTAGCATGTATATGCCAATATTTTACTTCACAGAGAGATGGGGAAGGGAGGGAGAGAAGCAATAGACTTTCCAACCTCCTTTTGGACTCTGACTAATGAAGAAGGTAAAGCAATGAGAAGCTACCACTTCCACACCTATCCCATCTGGATGCTAAGGAAGTCCCTCTCTTTCACGGTCACAAGACAAGACCCTCATGTGAGGGTTCTTCAGTGCTGGCAGGACAACAGCTCCCTAAAATGTCTCTGAGGAGTAGCAGGCCATACGACATTCTCCATTCTCATATGATGTAACTTTCTGCTTCCAGAGAACAGTTCTGTGTTCACACGACTCCAGCCACAGTGCCCACAAGAGCTGAGGAGCCTTTGCTGAAATTGATATTTTTAAGTTAAACAGCTCCCATATCAATCTAAAACCCAGAGGCATAATCTGCCCCTTCTCCATCCGTTACTGTACTTCCTCCACATGAGAGACGGAAAAAGCACTCCCTCTGCCCACCCCGGCCCCCACAAGACTCACGTGTGTACTGGGTAATGGAGCTGGAGTCACCTTGGACCCGGTCCAATTCTGGAGAGATTGTGACATTATATAAGGTGCCTGGGTCGAGGCCCTTTAGTGTGACGGCTTCCTGAGAAACAGTGGTGTTGGTGTTCTTGTGGGGGCTGTGTTCAGACACCAGAACTATGTGGTAGTGGTAGTGGTACCTAGAAGCACCGTCTGTGTTCCCCCACTTCAGCTGCATCTCACTGGTGCCAACACTGACCACTTGGATGTTGATCACAGCACTGCGGTCTAGTCAGAGAAAAGAAAGAAAACTATCTAATCATGATTCCAGCTTCATCTCATAGTGTCTGTCAAAAGAACCAACTTTTTGTTAGCCAACTCGCCAATGAGTTCAGGCCCAGTGTACTACTAGAGGTCAGGGCTAGAGTGAAACCCTACTTTAAAAAAAAAAAAAAAAAGTGAGTTCACAAAGGTCAAACTGTGTGCCTGGTACCCATGAAGGCCAGAAGAGGGGGACTGGAGTTAAAGGTGGCTGTGAGCATTAATGTGGGTGTTAGGAATCAAACCCAGATCCTCTGGGAGATCATTCAGTGCTCTTAACAACTAGCCATTTCTCCAGGCCCATGGGATTCTAATGTGTTTGGCCTGTGATACTCTGTCAAGCTATGTACTGTGAATGGGTACACTTTTTATAACTATATTGTATCTCAATAAAAAGTGTGTTTGAAGATCGGTGGTGGTAGTGGTGGTGCACACCTTTAATAGAAGCACTCGGAAGGCAGAGGCTTTGAGTTCAAAGCCAGCCTGGTCTGGTCTATGGAGTGAGTTCCAGGACAGGCTCCAAAGCTGCAGAAAAACATTGTTTCAAAAAAAAAAAAAAAAAACAAAAGAAAAAAAAAAAAGAGTGTGTTTGAAGTTGAGTGTGAAAGCTGAGGCAGGAGATTTCAAGTTCAAGGCCAGCTTGAGCTCCACAGCATGACTGTCTAAGTAAGTGAGTTAAGTGTTGGTTTGCTTGCTTTTCACCATTTACTCAAAAGAATGTGTTCATATGAGCTACCAGGCACACTGAGGAGGAAAACAAAGGAAGAACTTTATAAACCATAACATGCTTACATGATGGAACCTTTCTCTAAAAGCAGGAAGGTCATGCTAGCTATGGGGAGTATCATTATACACACAGAGCAAAACGTTCAAATAAAAAATAAAATCATTTGTAAAATGATGACAATGTAGACAAAAGGTATGGCTGTGCACACAGACAGAAAAGAAATTCAATCATATGAGAGTGGTTAAGAGTTACATATGCTCCTTCCCTTTAGCATGGTAAATAAACACAGCATATTATTTATCATTAACCATCTGTCAATGTGCATTTTGGCAGTGCTAAATATATTCCTAGTATTGTATAAACATTACCATTATCACACTCAAAATGTTTTCATCATTTTCAACACAAAATCTATACCACCTTTGCAGCACTACCATCCCGTTCCCTCTACCCGAGTTCCTCTCTCTCTCTCCGAACCTGCCTATTCTAGACCCTGTGTAAACTGAAGCATAAGTACCTGTCTTTTAGGGGTGTGATGACACACACCTTTAACCCCAGCATGCAGGAGACAAAGGCAGGAGGATCTCTGTAAGCTTGAGACAGTCAATTCTGTTCCACACATTGTAGGCCAGCTATGGCTGCATACTAAGACCCTGTCATTAAATGTAATAATAAAACTGTCTTTCTTTGTGTGACTTATTTCATTTCTAATATTTACAAGATTACATCCATGTTGCAGCATACATGAAGATTCACTCCCTAAGGCAGAATGATATTCTATTATGTAAAAACAAAGTCATATTTTGTCTATTTGTGTGCCAGTGGGTGGTGGGTGGTTTCTATCTTGGGTTTCTGTGAGTGAACAATGGTTTACAAACAGCTATTTGAGATCCTGCTTTCAATTCTTCCTGAGAGATATCAAGAAGTAGAAAACTGGATCAGGAAACATTTGTTTCCCTTTTTCTAGATTGCCTTTAGTGCTGTTCAACTACATCTGAGGAATGAAGACAACGATTCAATAATGGACAGTTGCCCTAAGTGTCTGGGGCGTACGCCAAGCCCTCTCGCCACCTATTCCAAGGAACCCACCACTAACCACACACAAATACAAGGCTGATTTTAAATTATGCCATGAAATAAACATTGCCAGACATGTTGGCACATGCCTTTAATCTAACACTTGAGAAGCAGGCTGATTTCTGTAAATGCAAAGCCAACCTGGTCTACAAAGTCAACAGGGTCCAGGCCAGCCAGAGCTACACAGTGAAACCTTGTTTTAATAAATAACAATAACAGGGGAAATATTCACAATACACAGATTAAGTGAGGAGAAAGCAGATTATAAAACCACACATGAACCAAGACAGCAAGGTTTATAAAGGATAAATATGTATGTTTGTGTACATCTTAAAATAAGTGTCAGGGAGCTGGCTATGGTAGCATGTGACTCTAATCTCAGCATTTGTGAAGTGGAGTTCAAGACCAATCTCAGCCGCATAGTAAGTCAGAAAACCACATAAGACCCTATCTCAAAAGGGGGTGAGAGCCGGGCGATGGTGGCGCACGCCTTTAATCCCAGCACTCGGGAGGCAGAGGCAGGCGGATCTCTGTGAGTTCGAGACCAGCCTGGTCTACAGAGCTAGTTCCAGGACAGGCTCCAAAGCCTCAGAGAAACCCTGTCTCAAAAAACTAAAAAAAAAAAAGGGGGGGTGAGATGCTGGTAAGATGGCTCAGTGAGTAAAAGCACTTGCCACACAAGTCTGACAACCTGAGTTCAATTCCCAGAACCCAGAGTAGACGAGAACCTGGAAGTTATCCTCTGACCTCCACACACGGTGTGGTACCTAACTGATAGGTTTACATACGATTCTTCGTCACTTTATTTTTGTGCTGTCGCTATCACCACAGTCATGAAATGTTTTAAGATTCGTTTTATAAAAAGAAAAATATATTTTGAAAATAAGACATCTGTAAGAAACATCAATATCAGGATGCTCACCAGTTCTGCCGTCAACTGTTCTGGATGGCCCTTCAGTCCCATCTGGTCCTTGTGGAAATATTTCAAAATGATAAGTGGTTCCAGGCTCTAATTCTTTGATGGTAAAGCTCTGATTTCCAGTTGTATAATTTCCGCTCTTCTCACTTCCCTTCTGCATGGCAAGGATCCTAAATGACTGTGAGTCCTTGCTTTTCCAAGTCAAACCAATTTCCCTTGTGCTGACATTTGTCACATGGAAGTCAGAAACCGGACCAGGGGCTATGGAAGACAGTGAGGACGGTTAGATGAAGAACCTCCATCTCCAGGCATGGTACAGGAGTGGCACTGTCCACAATACCGGCACTTGAGAACATAAAACAGGAAGATCTCGAGTTCAAGACCAGCTAGGACTATAAAAACAAAAGTATAAACAGAGCGGCCAACCCTCATAAGAAGCTGTCCTGTTCTCCCTTTTGCTTTTCCTGGAGCACCAACTGCAGAAAAAAACTGGTGCTTCTGGCTAAAGAAAGATCACTTGGCCACAGAAGGTAGACGCCATGTCAGTCACCAGTGACAGGAGGTAAGGTTTCCCAAGCTGTGAGGATGAGTGCTGGCCATGGCTGGCTGCTTTATCTTGAACATGTTACTCCAAAAGGTCTAATCTCACCTCTGTCAGTTTCCTGCTGAGATGCCAGTCCACACTATCTCGATCATGGCTTCCACGTCCATAAAGTAAGACTAACACCAACCATACCACAAGGATTTCCAAGCTCTCAGTGACAGTGCAAAAGCATCACTGAGCAAATGATTAGGGCCAATCAATGATCACTGTTACTACATCTCACACCTCACAAATGAGGCCCTGTGGCGCCATAGGCAGTGCTCAGCATTCCTCACCTTGTACTGAGACCTGGCACATAAGCTATAGAGTGCTGGCTAGTTTTTAATGTTAACTTGACAGAACCTAGAGTCACCTGAGAAAATGAAACCTCAGTTGTATAATTGCCCAGACTGGCCTATGGCCACATCTGTAAGAAATGGTCTTGATTGGTGATTGATGTGGACAGGCCCAGCACACTGTAGGCATTCTGTATTTGGGAAGGAGGGCGTGGGTTGCTTAAGAAAACCAGCTGAGCAGTCAGAAAGCTAGCCAAGCAGCCGCATTCTTCCATGGCTTCCCTGAGGATTGGATTGCTTGCTTCCTAGCAGTGTAACCTGAAGTGAACTGTTTCTTCCCCCTAGTTTCTCTGGTCACAGAGTTTACCACTACCACAACAGAAAAGCAAACCAGACAAGATACCAGGGAGTGAACTTACAAGTATATACTTGGAGGAAGCCTGGTGTGCCCTCGATGTGACTCAGGAAAGGACGTACTGTGATGTTGTATAAGGTGCTCGAGCTGAGTCCATAGATGATAGCCTCAGTCTTATTGACAGTTTGATTGATAGAATTAGTCCCCCCAGCCACATGTATCTTGTAGGTGTAGGGAAAAGATGACCCATCATTATACTTGATCTTCCAGGTCAGGGTCATATTTGTGGCACTGATGTTCACAGCTCTGATGTCAAAAACCTGGCTTGAATCTTTGAAGACACAAGAGGAGTAAAAATAATCAGAATGGTCAAGTCAGAATGAGAAGAGAAGAGAGTATCAATCGGGACCTTTCGCTGGTCCTGCGGAACACATTTAGGTATTGGTCACCCTCATCATCACCTCACCATGACCAGAAATGTATGTAGGTCTCACCAAAGCTGGGCATCAGTGGAGAATACACAGCCTGGCCACCTCACATCACAGACGCTCTGCATTCAGTTTGGGAGCAGACCTCGAAAGATACCAAGATTCCAGATCAAACAAAAGTATGAACGTTCACATGTGCTGCCCAGGAGATAGGGGAGGATGAGCCAGAAAATTCCTCAAGTACACATTCACCCAAGAACAGACACTAGTCATCGTGAATTACAGGGAGCTAGCTGGGCTCTACCAGGGAGTACACCTGAGAAAAGCCACTAGCTGCTTTCTCCTCTGTGACGCGGTTCCCACCCTAACCTTACAAAAAGACAACGTGAGAACCAGATGTCATCCAGTTACTATGAAATAAGCTTTTTGTACACTGTAAAGATGTGACTTTGCCAAAGTGTCTTTTGATTGGTTTAATAAGGAGGTGAGTGGCCAAAAGCTAGACAGGAAGAGGTTAGGTGGGACTTTTGAGCAGAGAAAAAAGAAGAGCTAAATCTAGGTATGGGGGAGATGGCAGAGGAGATGGAGAGGAAGCAGGACGTTCAGGAGAGGTAAAAGCCACAAGACATGGCAGCATGTAGATTAACAGAAATCGGTTGTTATAAGAGCTAGTTAGAAACAAGCCTAAGCTGAGGTCAAGCTTTCATAATTAGTAAGTCCCTGTGTCATTATTTAGGAGTTGGCTGGCAGGACAGAAAAAGACTTGTTACATCCAGTTATCTACTCTCCCAGCCCATCCTGTCTTTCTTCTGCCTGTCCTGTGCCTCAGGAGACTGCACCCTATATATGGCATCACTGGACACCTACCACATGGCCTACGAACACTCTCCACTAGTGAATGAGATGGGCAGGATCCCGACAGTTGGCTGATGAGAATAATCGGTCTTATATCCACAGTTTCTGCTTTCACCAGGCTCCAGAAAAACTATCTGCTCCCTCACTCCAGATCTGGAGGTAGTCATCCACCAGCCACTTAATCCTGACCCACTTAACCAGTCACGTGAACAATATCAGATGATGTGTGTGCACACATGTGAATGCACACATGTGTTGGAAATAGGGGGCTTGTGATCCAGGGCTATCCTTTATAAATATTTAAACAGTTTTTAAAACAGAGTCATAAATCTCTCAGAGCCCGGTGGGTGAGTAGCCTTGCCACCACCGCTCCCACTGTTCCCTTGACTTCTGCCTTCATGTGCCGGGTCTGTCATCTGTATTTCTGATCAGGACACTCCAACAGGAGCCCTTCTCCCTAGCTCCCCATCTACCCCGCCTCCATCTATCCAAGACCTACCATCCTTCCTGTAAGAGACCCTCCCTCAGGACTGGATGTTAAAACCGTGCTCTTGCCTCCTAATGTCCTCAGCATTTAGAGGACAGCAGGATGGGCAGTAGCCACCTGTGCAGTAGCCATGTACCACCTGTGCAGTAGCCATGTTCCACCTGTGCAGTAGCCATGTACCACCTGTGCAGTAGCCATGTACCACCTGTGCAGTAGCCATGTACCACCTGTGCAGTAGCCATGTACCACCTGTGCAGTAGCCCTGTTCCACCTGTGCAGTAGCCATGTACCATCTGTGCAGTAGCCCTGTTCCACCTGTACAGTAGCCATGTACCACCTGTGCAGTAGCCCCACTCCCTTTCAAAGCAGCACCCAACATTCTTGGTGGGAGGAACTGCTACAAGTCACTAACGTGAGAGCCAAGGGTCAACACCTCCCTCACCCAACACAGCCATTCATCAAGCAGACACACACATTTAACTGGGGACTCAGAATTCATCACCAGATCTAGGGTGGCCCCACACCTCCTGGATGCCAGCTTGTCTTCTCTCCTTGTTCTTCCAGCCTTCACCCTCACCCACTTAAGTCTGCTGACCTAGGGCAGTCTTTCAAAATATTTTCTGCTAAGTCAGTGCACACCAAGTCCCGGAGAGCTGTGAAGCTGCGGTCTGTTCCTGAGCTCAAAGGGCCCACAGGCAGATGTTTCCATGCATGTTTATCTCAAGCCCCCATCCATATGAAAAACCATACATCTCCTTATTCCATTATCAGTACCAATCACAAAAGCTTCCAAATACTGAACTCAAGAGAGGGAGTGCCTATGAACCACAGCTAATGATAGTGATGTGAAGGCCAGCAAGTGTCTCGACAGAAAGTTCAATATAAATCCCAAAGGCAGGCCCAAACAGAAGCTCTCTGGCTAATCCGCAGATACAGAGGTGAGGTGGCAGCCCGCATCTACACCCCTGCTCAATGCTTTACTAAGTTTCACAACAGATACGTCGTGGCCACAGAGGTAAGTAGAAACTCAGTGTACGGGATCTATCCAAAATCTCTCTCAGAAAGATCCTGCTAATAACAGAACTAACTGCTAAGAGAAAAAATCCAGAGAGAGAGAACTGCACAAAATAAAACTTTTTGTGGGAGGCTCAGGCTGAAGCCATTTCGCAAAATCCAACCTACTTGTTGTAAACACTTCTTTATTCCCAGGCCGTCCTTCCGTGCCGTCTGCTGCTTGAGAATAAACGACGGCACTGTAGTCAGTATCCGGCTTTAGCCCAGTGAGCAAGACCTCTAGGGAGGGACCCTGGACAGAAGAAGGGTCTACAGAGTCGAGAAAGTTCCTGTGGAGTTGGCAGAGGCTGGCCACTGGGCTTCTCTTGCTACCATTGGTATCTGTTTCAAACACAGGAGGCAAAGACATTAAAAAGAAGAGACTGTATCCCCCACCTTTCACCGCCCTATCCCATAGAATGACACATCTAACAAACCCACAGTTGGTACTCCATAAATATCTACTCTCTGCCTCCTCCTGAGAAAGATCCGGTTCCCTGAAAAGAACCAGATTAGTTCACTGTGTACTATTACCCCAGAAACACCACGGATATTCTGTATCTTTCTTTCAACTCTGATATGTTGAACTCTCCTCTCTTTGGGACATGGTATTCCACCACTCCATAACTCTGCCTTGGCTACCACAGGCCACGCCAGGACCACACCTGAGAGGGTGGCAGGGATGGCAGGCGATGGAACGGGAAAAGCTCGTGACCATTTCTCCCTGAAAAGCAACCTGTCACATAGACCAAAGCAGGAGAAGAGATGAGAGGGCGCATCTTCTGAAGGCCTGACTACCTGTCAGGGCCATAAATTACCTTTCATTCCTAGCATTTAACATCTGATTTCTGACCCTAATCCCCAATTTGTATCTCTGTTTCCTTGATGCAAAATGGAGACTGAGTCTCCGTCCCTCCCCTTTCACAGTTACCGAGGAGTCCATTAGGAACACTACAAAGTCTACAAACAACTCCAAAGAAACTAACGGCTTGGATCATCCTTAGGTTAGCACTGGGCATCTGTTCACCTGAGGAAAAATTTAAAAGGACTACCTACTTTCCTGAATTCCAAAATCCAAAAGTTTCCAGCCCTACCACCATGCTGAGCCCCGTGTTCACATGTAAAACATGAGCCCTCTTCCTTTTTCACAAATGTATGAGCTCAGACTACATACAGCCCTCCAGCGATTTTAAGACCCTACACAAAAACATAAACAGTATGCTTTAAAATCCAGTCAATGACACACTCAGACCCTGATGCACAATTCTGTAACACACCTTCTTTAACCAGTAAGTCATTCTGTGTCTCCTTTGATTCTGGGAAAGAACAGTTACTCTGGGCCCCCAGCGTCAGGCCTGAAATATTGATGGGTAAATGTGGAGTCAACTCTGTGGAGTTTCTAAAGCTTTCAAGAAGCATCCGGTAGGAGGCAGAGCCATTTGTGTTGCTCCAGGTGAGAAGGGCCTGCGTCACACCCATGAAGGCAACTCGGAGATCAGTCACCGGCAAAGGTTCTGTTTCAAAAACACAAAGCTGGTATTAGTGGAAGAGGTATCTGCAATCATCTTTTTTTACACCGGTGCCACTTCAAAGTGACCCATATTTCATTTGTATCAGTCTAAACGTCCCCACGACATCACAGGGGCAGGGGACAAACACTTTCTGAAAAGGTGATAAGGAACAAACCTTAAAATCAAAACTGCTTATGTTCTGTGTCACTGTTCAAGACTAACTCCAATAGGAACTTGAAATTCTTTAAAATACTCTCCCACACAGTGGCATTTAACTGTATTTATTTTAGACACTAAAAATAAAGCATATAAAAATAACTTTCTAAATCTAGATGTCTCTGTTCAAAATAATGCAAACAATATGGTTTTATAATGCCCAGATCTTCTAGCCCAGGAGACACCCGATGCCCAGGCCCTCACAGCACCTTGTTTACTGGATGGGAACATGAATTAAACCATTTCACCATAAGAAACATACACCCCTTTCCATTTTTGTGACGATTTTATTGCTTGATTTCACCATGCAGCCCAAGTGAGCTCAAATGTGCAACAATCTTCTCACCACTGCCTCGTGAGTGCTAGAAGTAGAAGCGTCCCACCACACCCAGCACTGCTCCCTTTACTTTGTGATAGAAGAACAAGGAGACCAGAGGGGCAGGACGACTCGCTCAAGAGCACACACTGCTGGTGTGCTCGGTGGAGAGACCAGAATGCAGAGAAGCAGATAAGGCAAAAGTGATGGTGTTCCAGAGAAGACCCCTGCCTGAGGTCTCAGGGAGCTGACTGCAAAGCACTCCTAAGGCAGCTTCCAGCTATGGCATGAGGTGACCGATCAACGTTTTATCTGAATTCTCACATTGGATATCTAGATGCAAAGATTTCTAAATTACGTCACTGTGGGCTGCTGGGTGTTGTAGCTAAATGGGACTACATGGAGGCCTCCTTGCCCACCGAGCACGTACCACATGGGTGCTGAGGATCCAAACACCAATACCACTGAGCTACAACCCCTGTTCTCTGTCTTTATTATTAAAGAATTAAACACTAATAAACTAGAAAATTAAATGATTTTGGTGGTTGTCTGGATACCATGGTACTCTGACAGCTAGAATCAGGCTCTCCAGGTTCCAATTCAATTGCTTAATATCCAGTATTAAGGAACCTTAGAAGAAAGTTAACTCCTCCATATCACAGTTCTTACCTTCAGCCTCAGGTTTTATGAGGACAAAATAATGTTTGTCACGCACAGTGTCTGATGCGATCTCTTCCACAGAACCCTGTCCTGAGGACTCTAACGTGGATAAAGACATTTTCCTTCCCTTCCCATATTACTGCTACTATAGCCACCAGCTATGTTCCTTGTCCCTTACCTGTTGTGACATTTTTGTCCGTGGGGTCTCCGAAGGTTTGATTGGCTGCTATTGGAGTGATGTTATATGACATTTGGTTTTTCTCAGTAGTAAACGTCAGGTTCTTTTCCATCTTATTCTCTATTCTGTACGTGTACTCTGAAACCGCTGAATCGTTGTGCCTCCATGTTAAATCCACACTGGCTGGGCTAGAGACAGCTTCAGGGCTCGAAGCTATTTAAATATAGAAGAGAGAGAGATTAATTACATGTAATAAATATAAGAATAAAGCCTACCTTGTATGTCTACCTTTCAGAACTCAATTTCGTTTCTCTTCATTTGCCTCTTTGACTTTCCTGAAATAAAATACATCCAAATACACGTGTACTCATGCATGAGAATACGTCCCTAAACCAAAACAAAATAAAGAGAAACTAGCCACATTGGCTACGAGTTTAACATAGATTTGAATTTTGACATTAGCTGAGACAGAGAGATCTAAGATGCAAAAGGAGTCTGGGAAACTGCCTATTCTACCAACTTACTGAGTGACTTGGAGTGATCCCCTTAAAACTACTCTATCCTAACTGGGAAGGGTTAGTAAGCCATCATGACAAAACAGACAAGACATTAAAGCTCCTGGTCATATAATTTTATTCAAAGTCATCTCAACTCTTAGGCTATCAGTTTCATCCTCGGTACAATGCCAGGTATGCAAATCCCAAACCAATGGAAGCCACATGGTTACTCACAGTGACACTAGCAAGTGCATGTACCCTAGTTAAGTTCAAGATTGCAGAGTAATGCCCAGGAACAGCAAAACACAAAGTAAAGCCTTAATCTTAAGGTGCTGGGGAAACCACAGGTAACACTCCAGCGTGAATGGGATGGTGTGCCTCACCTCGGGGCAGGTGTAAAGTTATCCAGTTTATAGAAAGGACAAGAAGAGAAAGAGATCATCTTGTGAGGCCCCTTCAGTCATGAGTTTCCTCTACAAAGTTCCCATCAGTACTGGGTACTGCCATTTGCAAGCAGTGATAATGGGGATGAGAACAAAGTGGCAACAACTACAGCATAGGAGGAAGTAAATCGGCAGCGCCGTCAGCAATTCGACACGTTATCTATCAGCCCAGAATGTGCACTTTCCACTTACTCAGCTCACCTGCAAGAGCACAGCTACAGCGCCATTTTCAGTAGCAAAAAGACATGCTAAGAACGGAATTGTTTTCATTCATACAGAGAATCTGAGCAACATGGGGAGATAGATGTCTACATTTCAATAGTCATGGGGTAGAAAGTATAGCTTTTTCAAATTTTGCTAAATGTTTCCTCTCCATTTATTGAAATAATACTGTGGATTTTGTCTTTTCTATTAATCTAACATATCAGATACACTGTTTGCATATGCTGAACCATTCTTAAATCCCTGGAATGAATCTCATTTGATCACAATGAACAGTCTTTAATGTGTTCTTGAATTGGGCTTCTAATCTTTTATGGAGGAATTAACAAAACCATTCATTAATATAAACCTCCCTCTTAGGACATGTTTTGTCATATCCTGTGTGTTTTGAAATATAGTCTTCCTCTCAAATGTTTTCATTCCTTTTTGTCTTACACTGTTGCTTATCTGAAAGTGTGTTGCTAATTTCCAAACATCTGTAAAGTTTCCCAAGTTCTTATTAATTTATTTCTAGTTTTCCTTGATTTTGAAAAATACTTGCAGAGCTCTCAGAATTCTTAAACTTGTAAGACATATTTTGTAGCCTAGCATAGGTCTATCCCAGACAGTGCTCGATCTCCAGTGCAGAAAAATGTGTATTTGCAGCCGATGGAGAAAATACCTGGATATGTCTCTTAGGTCTCCTTGGTACACACTATAATTAGAACTCAATCCTTCATCCTTACTTAAGCAGTGTGGGTAGTCAAGCTGGGGTTACACAACCGTCACACCCTCTGAGGTGGTTTGAAAGAAAATGTTCCCCAAAGGAAGTAGCACTATTAGGAGGGGCAGCCTTGTTGGAGTAGGTGTGGTCTTGTGGGAGGAAGTGTGTCACCTATAGGTCTTTTTCTCAAGCTCAACTCAGTGTGACAGTCATTCAACTTTCTACTACTGCCTACTAGTCAAAATGTAGCCAGCACCATGTCTTCCTGCATGCCACCATGCTCCCTGTCATGATGGTAATGGACTGAACTTCTGAAACTGTAAGCCAGCACCTCACTTAAATGTTTACTTTGTAAGAGTTGCTGTGGTCATGGTGTCTTTTCACAACACTATAAATCCCAACTAAGATACCTTCTGAATGTGGTGAAAACATCTTCTCAGTTACTCACCCTGCTTCCTATCACAGTGACTCTACAGATGGGTCAGGTCTATAACCTTAATCCAGAAATCAATTCTGGAGGCTGAGCATAAATCCTGTATGTTATGGGCTAAATTGTATCATCCCCAAAAACCATACATTAAAATATTAAACATCAGTACCTCCAAATATGTGTGTGCTTGCAAGACAGTGTGTATCAAGGAGTTAAGTTCAAGAGAGGTCATAAGGGTGTGGCCTCTTGCAATAAAACAGATGCCCTCATATGTTACAAAATATTTGTGTACACTGTAAAGGTATGTCTCTGCCTAAGATGCCTTCTGATAGGTTTAATAAAAAGCTGAATGGTCAGCTGCTAGGCCGGAGAAAATAAGCAGGACTTCCAGGGAGGGAAGAGAGGGGAAGAGGAGGAGGAGGAGGAGGAGGAGGAGGAGGAGGAGGAGGAGGAGGAGGAGGAGGAGGAGGAGGAGGAGGAGGAGGAGGAGGAGAAAACTAGATGGGAGACTTCGCCAGCAGACTCAGTCAAATGTGCAACACTAAGAATAGGTAACCAAGCTATGTGGCAGAACATAGATTAAAAAAAAAAAAAAAAGGTTGATTAAGTTATAAGAGCTGGTTGGGGAAAAGCCAAAGCTAAGGCCAAGCTTTCATAATTAATAAGAAGTCTCCAGGTCATTATCTGTGGGCTGGTGATCCAAAGATAGTCCGACAAGAAAGCTTGCTACACTTTTAAGAAGAACACATTAGCATACAGGCACAGGGGCTGGGGGAGTCCCGTGATGACACAGGAAGAAAACTGCCACCTGTGTGCAAAGAGAAGCTCCTCAATTATAAGAAAATAAACTATGGACAGTGACTGGCATAGCTCTGGGGTCGGATTCTGCAGACCAGTGGCTCCAGCCCCCTACTAGCCCCCTACTAGCTTATCTGATACTACCTGTGTGGTTCCCTGTTATTTGTAAAAACCTTTGTATATTACTGTTGCTAACGAAGATTTGCCTTATTAGAAGGGTTCAGTAGATTGGTCCCACTTTGCATAGCACAATGAGACCAAGCTAATCATATCTCAAGGAATCCTAGGCTCTAGGATGTTTTTTATCCAGTAAGAAGTGAAAAAAATGTTCCTGAATTTTAGAGACAAACAAAAGCTACCAATTTTTTTCCAAAAGAATATGCAATTTTAAAATACTAACTACTATTATTCTTCTACAGAAACAGTAAGGTCTTTTTAAAAATAATTTATTTACTTTAATTTCATGTGCATTCTTGTTTTGCCTGCATGTATGTCTGTGCGAAGGTGTCAGATTCCTTGAAACTGAAATTACAGGCAGTTATGAGGTCCATGTGGGTGCTGGGAATTGAACCCAGGTCCTCTGGAAGAGCAGCCAGCTTCTTAACCATTGTGCCATCTCTCCAACTCCAACAGTAATGATCTGATCCCAGAATTGCTTTCAGACGGATGTATTTAGCTATAAAAACCATCATTACTAGATCGTCAGAAAAGCATATTTATCTTGTCTTCCTGTAGAGCAAGGAAAGAAAGCGCCTAGCCATGGCTGGAGCTTGGTCCTCCACACCACCCTCGGACTCAGGGGGACTGGGAATTCTGTTCTGCTTTACTGTTCTAAGGATGGAGTCCTGAACTCCACACATGCTGAGAAAGTACCCAACCATGAGCTACAGCCCCATCCCCAGGCTGATACTAAAAACCAAAGGAGGCTGTCTCTGCTTCTGAAGAGATTTGAAAATTCCACAACACCATATTTTAAAGGTCAAACAGTAACACAAAAAAGTGCTTGCAGAATAACAGCACATGCAATAGGAAAATAACTACTGCAGTTTTAATTCATTTCTCTCATCCATGGGGATAGGCTGGCAAAAGAAAATCATAGAAAGCCCAATGTTTTTATGAACTGGTGGTTGCACTGTGTCCCCCAGGCTTCCCTCAAACTCTCTAGTTCAAGAGACCTCTGGCCGAACAAAGTCTCCCAAGGAGTTGAAACTGCAGGAGTACACCCCCACGTAGCTCAGAAAACACAGAATTTTTATAGCTGTGGTTGAAGAACTGACTCTCTTTTCACTTGCTGCTTCTACTTTCACTTGGCTTCTAAGGAAAAGCAGAAAGTAAGTGGATTTTCACAGTTTTCTGTGAGCATTATGACCACTAGGGGACAATAGCAAACAACACAAGAATAGGAAGGAGCGAGGTACTCACCCGCACCTGCACCTGTGCACAGGACCTGTAATGGAAGAGAAAAAGGAAGTCAGCAGATTCATTCAGCCATGGAAATGCAAATCAGAAACAGAGCAGCTGGGGACCTGTTAATGGGAGTGGGCTTTGAATTTGTGGAAGGATGGCGGCCACAGTCAGTGTGTCTGGGACTTTAAAGACAGGGAGAGCTCAAGTCAATGACACAGGATTAACTATGGAGGCCATGAGGCTACTGACTTCTCGGGGCTCCAAAAGCCAGTGCTCCCTCCTGCCTCTGTGAGATGAACTAAGGCAGACACAAAAGCCAAACCAAGTTTGTCTGAGCCAGAACAAATGGAAATGGAGACCCAAGGCTCTTCCTACAGCCAAGTCCAGAGCCAGCAGACTGGTAAAGCCTGAAGTGGAAAGTCAGGGGGCTTGGATTGTTCACCTTCTTCAGTCTGTCAGCTGACGGCAGTCTCTTTTTTTTTTTTTTTTTTTTTTAAATCATCTGGTATGCTACTTTGAGAAGGAGTGAAATATGATTTAGTTGACAATGTCAATATTCCATTTGGGGTCGAGAAAGACCATGCCATAAATCATTTCCCCAACATATAATGTAATTTGCAGTTGTATGTTTTATTGTTTCTTAAATACATGCTTTTGAAAATTGGAATTTCCAAAGTATGGTGATTGTGAAAAAGAAAATAATAAAAAGAAGAGAAATGTCCTGCAACTTACGACCATCCTTAGAATTAAAGTCTACCTTAACTACCCAGCAAGCTCTCTACTCTTGGTGACATTCACATTCTTGAAACTAATTTCCCCCTTAGAAACTTTACATATTTATTCCCTCTTGCCAAAGGACAGTGCCAACAAAACTTTCTTTCTTCTTTTCTAGGTGCCTAAGATGTCACCCATTCAAAAGTCTCTTCAGTAACCACCCAGGAAAACTCAGCACCCTCCCCCTCCATTGCCACTGTCTCCTCCACATGAGCAGGAACACAGTTCATATTGCAGGCTCAAAAATGCCACAGGAAAGAACAAGCAAGCTGAGGAGGAGCAAAGGCATTCCCAAGGTCAGGCAATATGTCAATCAATGCCTCTGTGATGGGTCCCAGGAGAGGAAGGAAAATAAAGAAGTTCACGGCTAGCACAAGAAAGCAAGCATATTTTGCCCAGTACTTAAAAACAATCTTTAACTACAAAACCTCCACACATTAGGAAGGTTGAGTCCTGGCACCCACCCACAGTACATCTCTCCTCGGTATCTATATGCTTTTGTCCCTCCTGGAATTCATTCATCTTAGGACCACCTGAAATCCTAAAAGACCTGCATCCTGCCCTCCAACTGTTTGCTGGAAAGCAAGGGAAATAAGGTAAGTCTAAAAGTAACTTGAGACAGAGAGCACTACCACAACATGCCAGCATGAAGCACCTGCAAGAGCCCAGCACTCCTCTGAAATGCCAGGGCTGCAGCCAACAGCCTTGTTATCCCAGAGAAAAGGAGATAGGCAGCTGCGCCTTAGGGAGACAGACAAATGGTACACCTGACCTGGGTGCAATGTGGCAGGGGATGTCAAACAAGGATGTATGCAAAAGCAGGGTGTGGTATTTCTAGGTCTGGGTCTTGTGTACCTTAAGTCACTGGCACAGGTAAAATCACATGATGAGGAAAAGGAAACACAGCTGAGTCCCCGTGTGTTCAAGTCGCAGAGCGCTGACTACCAGACATGTTCTAAACAGCTCTCCAACACTACTCAATGCTCCAAACAACTCATTAGTAAGAAGGTGAGTGGCAGGGCCTGGATTTGAAGCCTGGTGCTCAATTACAGAGGACCTGTGTATAACCAGCAGCTCTGCCACCTAATGTGGAGAGAAATACACTAGGGATCAGTGAAGGTTTAAAAATTCCTTTCCAGTCTTAACAAAAATAATAATAAAAAGAAAGAACAGAAGGAAGGAAGGAAGAAAGGAAGGAAGGAAGGAAGGAAGGAAGGAAGGAAGGAAGGAAGGAAGGAAGGAAGGGAGAGACAGACAGACAGACAAACAGAGTGAGCATGCTCTGTGCCTGGTGCTGAGGCAGGCAGGGCCAGGTTTCTGCTCTCCCTGTGCCACTACACCAACACTTACCACTCAGCTACCTGCTTTTGCACTGTCTGCTGAAGGAAAGTCACACACACTGGTTCACACAACAGAGTGAGGTAAACTGACGTTTGCCTTAACCTTCAACTGTACAGTAAAAATCCTTAACGGCCCATTACTCCTCTCCCGGGATCAGCTCAGGTCAATGATGAGCACAGCATGAGCCCAGTTCAGGCCAGTCACACCCCAGCCTCTTCCACACCAGCTAAGAAGACACCTGGCCAGGTGGGCACTTCATACATGCTTTTAAAATGCTAGCAACAGAAAGGTCATGCTTCCAGAAGGAAGTAAAAGCCGGGTTATGCCTGGTGCTGAGATAACAGAGACTGATACTCTCAGGCTCAAAAACAGCAGACCAAAGTTACCTGCATGAAAAAGTCCCCTCCCACATCAGTTTCCACCCCCACAGGGAAAGCAGTAAGCATTCCTCAGGCCCCTTCAGAGTTCTCAGTCCGCCCAGGTAGCATGTAAGGTTCAGGTTACACAAGCCAAGATCACAGATACTAGCCCTGCCCTGGCACAGGGAGACAAAAGAGAACCTGAAAGGCCTGCTTCTTCCCTCTGGGCAGAAAGCAGACCCTGAGGTGTGAACAGATAAGGGACTTGTCAAACTTCAAGAAGTGCTCCCATCTCAGGGGAAGCTTCCCCCCCCCCCCCCGCCCCCATCCCTTCCCTTCCCAGGGGCTCCAGATGCCGGAGCCTTTGCACCAGGAAGCTGCTGGAGGTGTTGCAGAAGTACTATCTACACAACCAAAAGTGCAAGCCATACAACAGAAAACTCACTGGTCCACAAAGAGGAATGGGGTACTGACTCCTGATACATGGCTGGATCTTAAAATGATGACAGAGGCCAGACACATGAGTCCACATAGTGTATGAGTTCAGTTATATAAAATATCCACAGAAGCGGAACACAGGCAAGGGGTCACAGGGGCTGGAAAGGGACAAGGCCTGGCTACAAGTGAGCTCAACTTGGGGGTTTCTTTGTGGGAATTCCAAGTGTGGAGAGCTGACAGAGATAAGAGCTACACAACAGGGTGAGTGCAGTACGCACAGCGGAAATGCACCTCCAAATAGTCCCTCTCAGTGTGGAAGTTTTTCTCATTTCTAAAAGATAGTATGCAGCAGGACTGTACAGTCATGCTCAGCCACTCCCCACCTTACTCAAGGGAGGAGTGATGGAGTAAGGTCATTGAGCAATAAAGAAACTGCTTGGCTGGCCCTGATGGGTTAAAGCATAGGTGGGAGGAGTAAACAGAATAGAATTCTGGGCGGAAGAGGAAGTGAGGTCAGACTCTGCTCTGCTCCCGGAGAGACCCGACAGCTCTGCTCTCTGGAGCAGAGACTCCAGGCTCCGCTCTCCCAGGCAGCTCCGACCCAGGATGGACGGAGGCTAGAATCTTCCCGGTAAGCTCACCTTGGGGTGCTTACACAGATGATTAGAAATGGGCTAAATTAATATGTGAGAATTAACCTAGAAGAGGCTAGATAGAAATGGGTCAAGCAGTTAAATGAATACAGTTTGTGTGTTGTTATTTCGGGCATGAGCTAGCAGGCGGCCGGGGTGCTGGGGACGCAGCCCCGCCGCTCTTATTTCAACAGAGGAGGGAGAGGGAGCTTCCTGGAGAAAAAAGAAAAGAAGGAGGAGAAGGAAGAGGAAAGGAAGGAACTGAATTCTTCCTGCTCTACAAACAGTTCACAGAGACTGCACTAGGAGCATGAACCTAAAACTTTCAAATCCTCCCCAAATCTGCATGAAAGCACCACACACCAAAATAGACTCTCTTCCCCTCTCTCTCATGTGACTGCCCAGTTGCCCTGTCTCCCAGGCTATGAACTTTGAAAGCCCTGAATGCACCCTTCTTCCTGTCTCCACACCCATGATGCTCATCTCCCCACTTCTCACAACCTGAGGTCCTGCAGAGCAGAGACTGCTGCATCCTAGGTCTGCAAGGCTCAAACCTTTCTTTAAAGCTCCCAAAACATCATCCATACAGATCAAACTAACAAGAGCCAGAACGGGTGATTATCTGCTGTGCTCTTTTTGTTTCTGCTTTATAAGATTATGGCTGTGACTCTGTGCAGAACCCCCTATTCGGAACATAATACAGACAAGTGCCTAAGGTGGGGGCCTTTTGTGAACACTGAAGGTGAATGGAACCTAACCCTATTCTCTCACTTACTTACCTCACTGACACCTTCCTTTCTTAACCTCAGTGTGAAAATAAAGAGACCTTCAAGGTCACCCTTCTTAAAATGTGCGGTATCAGCCAGAAGTCCAGCAGAGACAGGGAACATGCTCAGCAAGGGGAGTCTTGAAAGGCTGTGGATGTGGCAGTGGGAAAGCAACGAGCATCCTGCAGCGGCACAACTCCAGAGGAGACAAGCCGAGGGGACTGCCTCCTCCATCTCTGGGCTATCCAAACAGGGAGGTGGAGGTCAAGGGCACCCCTGGCATAGAACACAGAGGTCATCTCCTCTTGGGGTATAGACAGGTGGGCATGGAGAAGGCAGAGCAGGCTCACCTGACTACACTGCAGAGCCTGTCAATCTGGTGGGTGAGAGCCAAGAGTGGTCAAGGTCAGTTCAATCAGGGGATGGAGAGGGGGACTGACGCATCACAGCAGTTGGGAAGACTGAGGGAGACGATGTCTGTGTGTTCAAGGCCAGCCTGGTCTACATAGTGAGACCCTGTCTTCTAAAACGGTCAGGCTTGACTTTCTCTGCCCTTTAGGCTACAGCTTGAGGGTCTCACAAAGTCATTCATTTCACCTATTATAAAATAATGGAAGGGCATCTTCAATAGACATCCCGTATCTGTGTTCTCTCAAGATTCAAATACAGCAAAGTTCCTTGATTCCAGTCCTAACACCCTTCCTCCTCACCAAACCCCAAAGCTGCCCT